AATTCGCTATGTTGCTGTAGCGATTTGCAGGGCGCACTTGGGATAAGCTGGGCATGCGCGTGTGGCTTCCGTTCTTTCCCCTAGGTGCTGCCGCTCTGCCGCCCTCCCGTTGCTTCCGCCATCTCTGGCTCTTGCGATGCATCTGGGGTGCAAAGGGCGCGCGCCGCATCAAATCACTATCCTGGGTGTTCGGGTGGGCAAACCTGCTTCCGCCCTCGCTCTAGCCCCTCCTCCTTTGCTTCGCGCGCCCTGGGGCGTCAGGGGCGTTCGCCGCGCCTGGGCATGGTCCAGTGGGTGGGGAGGGCTCCCGGTCGTTGTCCAGGGGGTGGCGCTGTGCGATGAGGTGGAGACATCTGCGCGTCACCCGCTAGCACTAGGCCACTGCGAGCGGACAGCTGTCCGGGTGCTGCCGCAAGCTGCGCGCCTCGTCAGCCTCCCGCGCTGTGTGTCAGCGCGCTTTGCCCCCTACTGTTGCTCCCGCTCTCCCTGTTGTCTGGCCTCGCCCCCCCATAGCGGCGCGCGCTGCCGTCGCACCCCATCGGGTGCGGACCAGGCAGGGGGTCTGTGCGCTCGCCGTGTCGGGGCATTGGCCCCAGCATGCAGGAGAGGGTACGGGGCTCTGCCATTCGCTGCTTCTGCTTGCCTTCTCCCCGCGATGCTGCTCGTGTGATGCTGGCCAGGCCCCGGGGGGGCGCATGGGCGCCCCTGGCGCGAGCGGGGCCCATGGGCGGCCTGGGCTGGCGAGCACTCCCTGGGGGGCCAACGATGGGGGGTGAAAGAACTCTACCGAACGGGGGCCACCTAGCGGCTCTCTCTACCGCCCGCAGCGCCCAGGTGAGGGCTGAGTGGGCCGCCGCGGGGGCTGACGGCACGGCGCGACGCGCCCGCGGGCGCGGGCGCACGACCGGGTGCTGTCCCCACCGCGCGCGCCCCATCTCTGCGCTGCTGCTTGCACGTTTTTTTTTTTTTTTTTTTTTTTTTTTTTTTTTTTTTTTTTTTTTTTTTTTTTTTTTTTTTTTTTTTCTCTCTCTCTCTCTCTCTCTCTCTCTCTCTCTCTCTCTCTCTCTCTCTTTCTTTTTCCTGTTCTTCTCCTCTCCCAGTCCCAGTCCCAGTCCCAGTCCCTGGCCGAGTCCGCGGCGAAAGGGGCCGCTGCACCCGGCTCCCTCCGGCTGGCCCCTTGGCTGGGCTGCCGGCGCCCGCGGTCGCCTTAGGCGGCCCGACGGGCCCGCCGGCCACCGCGCGGTCTTGCGCCGCCAGCCGCCGCCGCCCGCCGCCCGCCCGGCCGAGCCGCCCTGCGTGCCTCGGCCTCCGGAGGCTTAGAAGTCGGCCGCTGGGCTCCAAGAAGTCTGGGGCGCTCCTCGTTTTTTCGCGATCCCGGAGTTTCCGGCCGCAGCAAAAAATAAAACAAAAACCAAACAAATACAGGCGGGCATGGAGGGATCGAGATTTCGCTCAAGACGCCGGCGGGGCCAGGAAAGGAAACGGAAGCCGGGGGGCTGGGATCGTTCCAGGGGGCCTGCCCGCGGCGCCGGCGCTCTCAGCCAGCCTGCGTGTTCTAGCACGGGCGCCGAGTGAGTCCCCGGCGCACCTCTTGGGCGTTTTGATCGAGGCCGACCGCGCGAAAACCGCGGTCCTTGTAGGCAACCCGACCGCGGCGCGATCCCCTGTCGAGTTGCCCCTTGACGCTCGACCGCCGCTGCCCCCGCCGCCGCCCCCCCCGCTGTCAAGAGGGCGCCGGGCGCTGTTCTCTTTTCCGAGCGGCGGCCCGGCGACTGGCTAGCAGAGTCGCCGCCGCGCGTGCGTCTGGCTCCAGCTGATCCTGTTTCCCCTGCTCCTCCGTCGGGCTCGCCCCCCCCCCTGCCGCCTGGGTGGGGGGGCCGCGTGGGGCAGCAAATGGCGCGCGTCACTGTCAGAGCCAGATAGCAAGCGGTGGGCTGTTCGTGAAGGTGAGAAAAGCGAGGCGGAAAAAATTGGTCAGACGTTGGGGCCACCTGGGCACTTCGGGGCCGTGGCGCAGCGTGGTGGAGCGAGCCGCCGATCGCGCCCCCTGTCGTAGCCCCCAGCCGTGCCGTGCAGGCGCCCATGAGTAATTCGTCTCGCCAGCCGCAGGCGCCACCCTGTGGTCGAACAAAATGTCGGGCAGCGCAGCGCGGGAGAAGCCGCCAGAGGTCGCTGCTTGGGCGGCCCAGGTTGCCAAGCTAAGCCGTGAACTTGACCGTGCGCGCAGCGTTGTCCCCCCTCCACGGCGGCGCCAAGGGTTGGCGCCGGCGCGGGCGGTCTTCTTAGTTTTTTCGCCCCGCGGCCGCAACCTCGGCCTGCCGCCGTCGGCCCGCCAGAGATTGCAGCGGCGCCCCTTGCGAACGCTGAGGCAGCCGTGGCCAGATCCGCAGTCCAAGCCGCAGTGGTGGCCCTCAGGCGCTATAGCAGTAGGACTGAGAGCAACGCTGCGGCTGGCGCCTGGCGCGATCGCGCGCGCCAGCTCGTGGGTGGCTGGACAGACGGGCGCGTGTCGATGCGAGCAAATTTTGGGCGAATTGCCTGGTCAGTGCTGACCTTTACAAAACAAGTGTGCAGGCATTTTTTTGGGGGGGCCTCCGCAGCGGCGGCCGCAGGTTGGACGCCCGCCGCGCGCCCCGCGCAGCGCGCGCGCGCCCGGCCCGCGGACCCCCGCGGCGCCCCGGCTTGTCCCCCAGAGGTGGGCGAGGCGGAGCGCAGGGTGCCCCCGTCTAGGGTCGGGTCTTCCACCGCCCTTCGTAGGGCCCCCTTGTGGAATGAAGAGAACCCGCAGCCCGCGCCGACCCGCCCGCCCTGAAGCGCCCCGCGGCGACGGCGCCTGCCCTCAGGAAGGGGGCGGCCCCCCCGGCCTATTGAAGACGCTCGGGCGATGGCCCCGCGCGCGCGGCCACCAGAGAGAGAACAGGCAGGAGAAGCAACAACTGCAAGCGAAACAGGGAAAGACAACGAAGCATGCAAAAACGCAACACCACTGCCCTTCCCAAAGTGCACACCATGCAAAAAGCGTCGACCTGACAGAAGAGCAAAGACAAGAGAAGGAGGGCCACAGCAACGAAGACAGCGGAAGCAGTAGCGGGCGTGAGAATATCAGACCTCTGCCCCGTGCGCGCCCAGCGTGGGCGGCCGGACAGCAAGCTCGGGGGACAAGGGCGAGACGACACGGCAGGGGGAGAGACGGCGCCGGGACCGGGGGCATGGCAACGGCGGCCAGGGCACGGCGCCGCGCGGGTCGCTGCAAAGCCGCTCCCCATGCTACCGTGGATGGGGAACTAACCGCAAGAGCCGTGCATCGAGTGCAACCCTGATGCGGACAAATGCTGAAAACAATATTGCATGGCAGGGGGAGGGGCGGGGAGCAAGCAGAGGGGAAACCAGGACAGGCAAAGAGGCACGAAGGGGAGCGCGCGCGAGCAGCGTAGGTAGCACAGGGGCCAACTCGCATTTTGCCACCGCGCGCACACAGTCCACAGTCGCCCTGCGCGCTAGCCCCCCTGGGCGCAGGCCGCGACGGTGCCGACGCTCGCCTGGCGCCCCCCTGCCCATGCACCAGTCCGGGGCGCACCCCGGGCGCGCCAATGGGTGTGCAGATCGCTGCTCCCCCTGGTAGGGGGGGGGGGGGGGGTAATTATTTTTTTAAAAGGGCACCGCGCAGTTGGGGCTTGAGATCACGCGGGGGCACTCGCGTTCTGTCCAGTTTTCTGAGCAGAGCGCTGGGGAAAGGTCTGGGGAAGTAGTTGCCGGGGGCCAGCCCGTCGCCACTGGGTCGCCCTCATTTTTTTTTTTTTTTTTTTTTTTGTTTGTTCTCTCTCGCGGCGAGCCGATCGCCGCGAGGTCGGCGGTGTCGCCAATTCCGCCACCGGCGGCGGGAGGCGCCCGCCTTGTGTCAGTCAAGCCGACAGAGCTGCTGAAGCAGGCCGTCGGCGCGGCGCGGCGTCGGCGCGGGGGGCGGGCGCTGAGTGCTCTTATTTTCCTTGCCGGGGCCTTCTTCTTCTTCTTCTCCTTCTCCTTCTGCTTCTCCTTCTCCTTCTCCTTCTCCTTCTCCTTCTCCTTCTCCTTCTCCTTCTCCTTCTCCTTCTCCTTCTCCTTCTCCTTCTCCTTCTCCTTCTCCTTCTCCTTCTCCTTCTCCTTCTCCTTCTCCTTCTCCTTCTCCTTCTCCTTCTCCTTCTCCTTCTCCTTCTCCTTCTCCTTCTCCTTCTCCTTCTCCTTCTCCTTCTCCTTCTCCTTCTCCTTCTCCTTCTCCTTCTCCTTCTCCTTCTCCTTCTCCTTCTCCTTCTCCTTCTCCTCAAGTAACATTGGGGCTCTGGCCATTTTGGCAACGCCCCGCTCCTGTGCCTGCGCGGGGTACTTGAGGCACTGCGTTTTTATCCCTTTCCTCCAAGTTCAGGGATTGAGCGTCGACCAAAACAGGAGTTTTTGATCATGGCCCGTCTCTGGTCCCGCTGTTCCTGCCAGCGTTGTGAATGCAATGACATTCTGGAATCGCGCGACAGAGTCTGCCTAGGATGTAATCGGAAGGTCAAGCTGCACAAGCCTCGCCCTGGTTCAGCAGCCGCCCGTGCGCAGGCGCCAGAGCCGCCCCCCCCCGCCAGCGCGGGCCAGGGCGCGGCCATCCCCGCTGGCGCGCAGGGCGGCAAGGGCAAGGGGAATGACAACTCCAAGACCAAGGCAGAGAAGCTGCAGGCCGCCGCGTCTCTCGACGTAGCCGAGTTACTCCGTATGGCGGTGAAGGGCACCCAGGACCCAGATCTTCGGCAGGTGCTCGAGGCGCAGGTGAAGCGCCTTGGCGCCCCGCCGCGTCCGCGGGGCCGGCTGAGGCACTCAAGAAGGCGGTGGGTCTCTTCAAGGATGCTGAGCACAAGCACGCGCAGGCAGCGGCGCAGGTGGTGCGCCTCGAGGCCAACTTGGCCCAGGCGCGGACCCGCGAGCAGGCCGCCGCTTTGGCGCTGGCGCAGGCCGAGAGGGCCAAGCGCACGGCCGCCGAGGCCATGGCAGTGGCAGAAGGAGTGGTACTTCGGCCTGAGGGAGCAACCCAGCCCAAGTTCGCAGTCAGCTGGGACAAGGAGCTCTTCGACGGCATCGATGATTTAGATTGCTCGGACGCCGAGAGGACCGAGCTCAAGAAGATAAAGTTCGATTTAGAGCAGCTCCAGCATGTCATGGAGGGCAAGGAGGCCGAGGTGTCGACGATGCTTTCCAAGGCGCAGGAGATGCAGGATCGGTTCCGCAAGAAGCGGAAGACCGAGCCTGACGAGGTGCCGCCCTCGGGGGGGTCGTCAAGCAGCGGCCCAGGCGCAGGCCAAGGCGGTTCGCCATGCCCTGTGCAGGGCGCTCCCCCCCCCGTGGCGGCGGCAGCGGATGCCGGCATGGGCAGCGCCAGCGGCGAAGCCGATGCAGCCAGGCTACCAGCTGGGTGCGACTCCGAGGACGATGCGGAGCTCCTGGCAGCGGCAGCGCGTCTCTCCTCGGCCAGGCTCGCGGCGCAGGCGCAGGTGCTCAGGGAGCAGTCGGCCAACACCAAGGGCGTGACGGGCAAAGGCAAGGGAGCTCCCGCTAGAGGGGGCAAATATATCGTGGCAGCAGCGGCTGCCGATGACCCTGATCTGTGACTAGCCTCCCCCTCGAGTGCGGCGCCGAGCTCGTCAGCCACTACGGGAGAGACTGCAAGCCGCCAGGCGCACTCGGGGGAGCACCAGGACCAGGATCTGGTACATCTATTCTTCGCCAATATCACATGTATTGGATACAAATCGTGGGGTTATCTTGTTGATAGCAATTTTGATTTTGCAGCCGCTGTCGAGACACATGTGTCCAGTGCTGATTTGCCTGCTTGGGACAAGAAGGCGCGCGCCGCTGGATATCGTCTCTTGGGCAATGGAGCTCGCACTCGGCAGCGCAGAGTTTCTCGAGCTCAGCGAGCCCATGCGAACGAAGGCGGCGAGTGGGTGCTTGCCAAGGGCCATCTTCAGATGCAGACGCTGCTCTCAGATTCTGGAGGTCGTCCACTTCGAGCTCGCGGGCATCGGGGGCTGGACGGGTTTCAAGCCGTCCTCATCCACCTCAGCGGCTTCACGCTGGCGGTCATCGTGTTTTACGGCTTTCCTTCGCTGGGGATCGCGGGGGCGAATCTCAGCAGGTTCCATCGGCTCGGGGCTCTCCTGAACTCGCTGGCAGTGCCGTGGTTAGTCATTGGCGACTTCAACGTCACTCCAACCACTCTGAGCAAGTCCAGCTTCATGCGGGGACTGCGCTCGGAGGCCAGTATCATGCACACGAATTTGGAGGCCACCTGCAACGTCGGGAAGCGGGATGCCAGCCACCTGGACTACATGCTTGTGTCAGCCGAGGCGCAGCCCATCATCGCCTCGCTCGAGCCTGTAGTCAGCGTACCGTGGAAGCCGCACGTGGGCCTGCTGGTGCGACTTCGGCGCTCGGCGAGGGCCCTGCAGGCACGGTACCTGGACATGCCGCGGCGTCTCCCGCAGGTGACCAGGCCTCGGACCCAGCCGACGCCAGGGTCCAAGTCGGCCCGAGCGAGAGCCGTGAACGAGGAGAAGCGGCAGGGGCGTCAGGAGGTGCGGGGAAAACACTTTCGCAAATTCTTCGCTGATCTCTTCTCGTCTGATGAGGCCACAGTCGATCATGAGCGTGAGACAGTTGAAGATTCTCCCCCTCCTGCTGGCGTAGGTTTTGAAATTGAAGAGGATTTTCCCGAGGGTCCCTTCCCTGCCGGATTTTCGGAGGACGAGGGCCCCTGGCCCGATGAGGTCGACCCTTGGGCCCACGAGTCCGACTTTAAACCGGCTGTGCCCTGCGGTTCTGTTTCGTCGCCGTGCCAGCCCCCTGGTGGTGGGAGCCCTACTAGACAAGCTTCCGTCCCTGGAGTGCCTGGAATTCGAGCCCGAGACCCCCCGCTTAGGACGTGCAGTCAAATTCCTGACTCCGGCGGTGGTACCACCCCGACTCCTCCTCCTCCTCCTCGGCCTCTCTCTCTTCCCCTGTTAATGAGCAGTCGGTGCCTTTGGCATCTCAGGATGCGCAGCCTTCTGTGGTCGAAGATCAGGTGCAGGAATGTCCTTTCTATGTCTCGGAACAGACCTGGTCTGAGTGCAAAGCGGATGTGGGGTTCATCCCCAGCAGCGAGTGCCCACCAGCTCCAGGTTTCGAGCAATCCGTAGCATTTCGGCTCCATGATCCTGGCACCTCTCAGGCGATAGCCTCCTTGTACGCATCATGGGTACGTTCGGCGGAGCTGAGTATCCAACGGCATCATTCTCTTCAGGCAACTTCTGGAGTCCTGCGAGGCAGTGGACCCAGTTTTCGTATAGCCGCCCTCCAACAGCAGGAGCGCACTCGCGTCACGACGAGTGCAGACCTTGTGGCTGGACGGTGGGGGCGGCTTCGCACAATTTATGCAGGGCTCGCTCGGCACTGCGCTCGAGACAATGGACATCAGCAACGAGCTCGTCTGATTGCAGCGCTGGCCTTGCAGATGGACTCGCGTCCCGACTCAGCCCATGCCCTTCTCAGCGGTCGTGACCCCCCCTGGGATGACTGGGTCGAGATTGCGGCTGACATGCAGAGCGGTGTTGCCACAGTGGATACCACGCGTCTTCAGAGTTTTGCTGACGCATCTGAGAGGATCGCGGACCGCGGACAGCAGCGCTCGGTCCATGCATCCATGCAGAGGTTTGTCAAGTGGATGACCGAGCAGTCGGCGCTTGGTCCGCTTCATCGCAGTCTACGTCAGGAGGCGATGGTCAAGCATGAGATCGAAGTCGGAGACGACATTTTGTTTCAGCCGCTAGATCTGGTCGATCACAAAGCCCAGAAGTGGAGGCAGAAGTGGGCACCGTCTTTGTCCACGGAAGCTGCCATTCAGGAGGCTTGTCGGCAGGGTCGCGAACGTGCAGAACTCGAGCCCCTGCCTCCCATCACTGGCGCCGACGTCAGAGAGGCGGCCAGGCGCATGCCTGCCCGAGCTGGACAAGGGTGCGGTCGCATGTCGCCCATCGACTTCGAACGCTTGCCTCTGACAGCGCTGGACGAGCTAGCAGATCTGTACATGATGATCGAAGCCGAGCTTGTCTGGCCACGCCAGATCATGATTACCCTCGGTCGCCTTCTGCCGAAGAAGACAGAAGGCGACCGAATCATAGGTCTTCTCTCTATGTTCAGCAGATTGTGGTCGCTCATCAGAGAGCCAGTAGTTCGACAGTGGTCGGACTCCCCGGCCCCCTACTGGGACGCTGCAGTGAAGGGCAACGCGGCTCTCCGCGAAGCCTTCGTTCGCACCCTGGAGGAGGAGGTCGGGCATCAACTCGGTGTGGTTTCTGGAGCAGGATTTTTAGACATCGACGGCTTCTACGACAATATTGTGTGGGAGCTGCTAATACCCAAGGGTTTGCAACTAGGTTTTCCAGCAGCCATCTTGTGCCTGGAGGTGCCGCAATGTATGGCGCCCCGAGCACTTGGGCAGTGCAGCTCGTGGGCCCTCCCCATCGCACCCACGAGGTCAGTGGTCCAGGGCCTTCGTTCAGGCACGCGGTTTGGAAGGATCATGGTCTATTTCGTTCTCGACAGGATTTGTTCAGCTCATCCTCGGATGGATCACCGCATCTGGGTGGATGACCTGGCTCAGCGTGCAGTAGGCTCTCGCGACAGTGTACGGCAACAACTTGTCGCCAGCCTCCGCGACACGTGCAAGGGCCTTCGAGCGATGAAGCTTCAGGTGGCATCCAAGTCAGTCGTGGTCTATTCTCACCACTCAGATGCCCTTCAGGTTTGCCGTGCCCTTCGAGTAGCGGGTTTCCATGTGCGAGCACAACGCGCTGCAGGCTTCCTAGGCACGGACTTAGGAGGTGGCGGTCGTCATGCTCGAGCTACGAGACGCAGGAGAGCGGGCGAGCATCGGCTGATGAACACCAAGGTACGCAAGTTCGCTCGTGCAGGGCGACGATATGCCATCACCTCGAAGCTTGAGCGGCTCGGAGCCCAGGCTGCAGGGCTATATGGACACCAGATACACGGCACGTACGGTGTCTACCTGCGCCAGGCCCGACAACGGCTAGGTGCTGTGGTGGCGGCCCCGTCCAAAGGTCGCTGCCTCGCCACAGTCCTGGCACTACGAGCCCCGCATGATCCAGCACTCAAATTACCAGAAGAGATGCTACGACAATGGTTTCGCGTCTGGCAGGAGGAGCCAGGACTTAGACGTGGAGTCTGCCGCGTGTGGAACCCCCTGGTGGAGAAGCTTCGTGCCATCTCACCAGGGCAGCGCACGCGGCACATACGAGGACCAGTTTCTGCAGTCATCACTTTGTTGTTGAATAACGGATGGGACCCACGGTCAGCCACCGAATGGTTCAAGCCTGCAGCCGATCCACAGGATGAATCCATCGAATGGCATTTCCCCGACTCAGCGTGGACAGGATGGCCAGATGTTGATGATCCAGGCCACCTCATTCGCGACGTGCAGAATTCCATTCGATCGTCTCTGTGGGAGCAGGCATCTCGACACTTTTGTGGCGGTGGCATGGAAGGCGGCATCGACTGCACGTCCCTGCGACAGCTGTACTCGCAATTGCAGTCGGTCGACCGTGGAGCTCGGCTAGCAGAACTACTTGTCACCATCGCAGCTGGAGGGTACTGGACTCGTTCTCGCCGCGGGGATTTTCTTGCGACCAAGGGCAAGCCCTTCGACACGAAGTGCCCTCGGTGCGGTGAGGCTCCAGAGACACCGTTCCATCGTATGTGGGGCTGCCGTCGCAACGTAGAAGCGGCAGCTTACAAGTGTTCCGGGTGCTTGGTGGGGGAGGCCTACTCCAGCTGGGAGTCCATGGAATGTTTCTGTCTCCGTGGGCTTCTCCCATCTCATCTCGTTCATGTTTCGCCTCCGTCGCAGGAGGAGCACTGGCAGGCGTCAGGGGAGATTCTATCGACGGGGGCTTTCGGACACGGCTCGCGGGACGCCCCGATCTTTCTGTTTGGTGATGCCAGTGGCGGTGAATTATCGGGGCACACAAGGTATCGCCGCGTGGGCGTATCGGTTGCCTGTATCAGTTCTTTCGAGCCTCTCGAGATCGCTAGCTCGATGTCTGGCGGGCTTGCAGGAGAACGGCAGTCAGTTCCTCGAGGTGAACTTCGGGCCCTTCTCTTGGCAGCTGAACACTCGTCGGGCCGAGTGGTGTATACCACTGATAATGAATATGTTGCTGAATGTTGGGCCTCAAAACTTTATCGTGAGCCCTCGGGACCAGACGCCGATCTTTGACATCGAATTGGAGCTGTTTTCGATGCCTCCAGGGACCCAGCCTCGTTTGTGGTGTTGTTCGTCAACTCGCATCTGGAGGCCCGTGAAGCGTTATCTGGGCAATTCCCTATGTGGATGATCTTGGGAAACGCTGTGGCGGATATACTTGCAGGGTCGGCAGCCAGTCGGGTGCAGGTCAGTGCAGAGGAGAGGGTACGAGCCGAGCAGTGGGAGCAGAGGGTTCTTCTCGTTCGGCTTCGCCTACTCCGCGCCACGCTCGACTCTATCGTCGCAGAGAAACGTCGAGAGCCTCTCGGGAAGAAACAACGTGAGCCACCTCCTCCCCCTCCTCCTGCTGTTTCTGCGATACAGACTTCCACCACCTCCCATCAGTTGGACGAGACTGGTCGTAAGTGTAGTAGGTGCTGCAGCTCCGCTGCAATAGCTAGGTTACCTGTTGGAGGAGGCGCGACTCGGCCAGGCCGGACTCGGCCGGCCGGACTCGGCCAGACTGAACTCGGCCAGGCTGGACTCGGCCAGGCTGAACTCGGCCAGGCTGGACTCGGCCGAGGCCGGACTCGGCCGGGTCCGGACTCGGCCGGGCCGGACTCGGCCGGCCGGACTCGGCCAGTCCGAACTCGGCCCGGCCGAACTCGGCCGGCGCTCTCGCTGCAGCGTGGCGCGCGGTCCGGACTCGGCCAGGCCGGACTCGGTCGGGTCCGGACTCGGCCGGGCCGGACTCGGCCGGCCGAACTCGGCCGCGGCCTAACTCGGCCAGGCCGGACTCGGCCAGACCGGGCCCGGCCCAGATCGCACTCGGCCGGGTTGCTTCAAGAGGGGTCTGTCGGGGACCTTCAGATGGAGGGATGATGGGGATGAGCAGGAGGTTTAGGATTCAGAGAGAGCGGCAAGGAGGAGGTGGGATTTCGGGGGGATCCTCCAGATTCAATGGGGGGGGGAAGGAACAGGAGGAAGAGACGGGGGGGTCTGAAGGATTCAGGTAGGAGGGGCCGGGAGGAGGTTCCGAAGCAAGTGCTCTCTCGCTGCTCTGTCAACTCGACATCTGTCGTTGACGACATTCTTCTCCTCCCTCTCCTACTTCTCTTCTGACTGTCGGGGCCCTCTTCCCTCGCTCTCGGGGGCCTTGGGGGCGCCCCTCGGGATCACATTGGAGGAGATCGACCCAAGAAAGACTGGGGCCTTGAGCCCACCCCCCCTCTCCCTCGGGAGCTCCCAAATTCGCCAATCGGCCCCTATTGGAGCGCCATTGGGGGCGCCCTTCAGTACTATTGGAGCCGTCTCGGGCCTCTCTCTGGCTTCTCTTGGGGCTACATTGGGCCCTCCTGGAGCAATCAATCGCTCCCGGACGGGCATCGAAACTAATCAGGCGGAAGGCAAGACAACACAAATTTGATTTCCTTGTACGTGTTTCAAAGATTTGGGCTTCCTGGGGCCCCCTTGGGAGGCTCCGTGGCCACGGGGGCCCGCCTTGGGGCGGTCGGGGGGTACCTTCCAGTATGTTTGCGGTCATATCTGGCCATTCCCAGCCATTTGGGAGGTCGTCTTCAGCCTCCCCGAGGCCCTCTTCGAGCCATCATGGGCCGTCTTGGGCGCGCCCATCGATCGCGGGGCGCCCCGTCCAGCTCCAGGGGAGGGGGTAATGGGGGAGGGGTGGACCACCTACCCCCCCGGCGCGGAAGAGGGAACGGGTGGAAGAGGAACCGCGTTGAACCACTTTCGCCCAGAAAGCTGGTGGGACTAGACGTGGGCTTCCAAGTGTAAAGCATGTAACGTCTGCCCTCGACGAGGGTATTCCTAATGTAACTCCTGCTCCGCATTCTCCCCCCCCTCCTCTTACACCTCTAATTTTCTTACTCCTCTTCCGCGGTGCTCTCGCCGACGGTCTTCTGCACGGGCTCACGGCTGAAGCTCCTGCGTGAGAACCGTGGGAAAGGGCGGCAGACGCGCTCAGTGCTGCCTCACTGGCGGCCCCCTTCCCCTGCTCCTCCTTCTCTACCTTCGCTTCCTCCTGTCATCCTCCTCTTCCCGTGCTCTCTCGCGCCTTGTTCACTCTCCCGCGACATCCTTCTAGCCGCCGCGCATGCCTCCGCTGGCCGGGGGGCGCGCGGCGCCCATGGCGGAGCTCGCGGGCGCCGGCGCGGCTCTGCCACAGGATGCCCGTTTCATCGGGGAGGGGCGCCTCCGTTTTTTCTTGCTCACCTCTTTCCCTTGCTCGCTGCATGCCTTTTCCCGCCCTCGGGGTTCCGGACTGTCCCTGGGCGGCCCTTCGTTCCTGAGTGCCACGCCGCGGGCTTCCTGCTCGGGCGGGCTAGCGCGCTGCCTCTTTTTTTTGTTTTTTGTCTTTGCGCGTGGGCACCTCTCCGATGCAAATATGTTCTCCCAGGCGGGCGCAGCGCCCCCTCTTCGGCAGTTCGACCTCAACGCCTTCACTTTTGCGCACATAGCTCGGCTACCGCCTCCAGTGGAGCTTCAGGCCCTGGGGGACCGAGGCCCTTACTTACGCCTTCCACCCCGGGAACCGAGGCGTAGAGCTGAAGAGGAGTGCTTGAGGATGCTGCCAGCGGGCGCGAAGACGTACTCGCCGCGCATGTTGCGCAGGATGGCTTGGGACGCGCTCATGCGCAGGCACAGGGGTCTGAACTCGTCGCCCCTACTGTCCACGCTCGCCCCACCCCGCCGGGTCACTGCCTAGCTCTGTCCCCGTTTGGGCTCTTGTATCCTCCTGGGGCAATGCCGGATGCCATGCCTCGTTCCTGCATGCTCCTTTGCTTGGCAGGTTCGTGTCGCATCGTGTCTTCCATCTTCCAGCTCTGCGCCTGTATCTCGCACGTCGCACCCCCCTTCTGTGACCCCCGCCTCGGCCCTGCGCATTCCAAACATTGGGGAAGGGTCTCTTCTTCTGACTGCCTCCGCAGGGCGCGAGCAGAGATGGAAGAGCTTCGTCGTCTGGGGGAGCATCCGCTAGCTCAACGATGGGAACGGGACATTGCAGCCGCACAACTCGCTTACAAGCGGGAGCAGGAGCAGCGCCAGGGGTCCTACTTCCTCAAAGTGCATGAGGAGGTGGTGCTCCACGCAAGTCTGATGTCATGGATCGACGGGGCCTCGGGCCGCGAGCGTGGCCCGGCAAGTGCCTCTCGAGCGTCTCGTTGCCCTGATGTGCCGGTCGTGGCAGCGTCGCGCCTGGCTTCGGCGGTCGCCGCGGCTTCCGTCGCAAGCCCGCAGCGGGGGGCTCAGAGGTGCGCACCGCGCGCCGGCTCGGCCGTGGATTCGCCACAGATGCTGTCCACGCCGCTCCCGGGGACGGGGCGGCCCCCCCATTCAGTGCCAGGCTTTTCTCCAGATCTTCCAGATGCGGTTCCTGATTCCGGGCGGCCCGGGGGCGCCCACCCTGCGGACGTGGGCGTGCGTCCAGGCCGTCTGCGTGTGCTACCCTGTCTTGTTGCATCGTTTCATGTGCATAGTTACCTGGTCGCGCAGTTGTCGTCGCGAGCGCGCGCGCGCATTCACGTGATTTCGTTCGAGTTCTCCCGCTCTCCCTTGCACCCGGCCCGCGGGCATCGCGACTCTGTTGTCTCGCTGTTTCATTCCATGCCTTTCCTCGGTCCGCTGCCTCCTCTGTTCCCCTCATCGTGATTTCCGTCGTCTAGTCAACGCCCGCTGCCGATCAGGCGCCGCGGAGTCCATCCAGGCTACCTCCGTGGACATCGTCGCCAGCCTGGCCTCCATGACCGCGGGCACCCGCTGTGCTTGGGGATCCTTGCGTGCCGTGGCTGCCGCCCTGCGCCTTTCAAGGGAGCACGCTGAGCTCGCCAGGGACTCTTTGACTTCCTCTGGGCGCCTCGCCTGGGTGGGGGACTACGTCATCCTGAAGCAGGTGCCCAGCACTCCTTCAGCTCTCCTGCCTCGCGGGCAACCGTGGCTTCTATGTCCCTTATCTTTCTCTCGCTCTGTTTGCTGTTTCCATCGTGGCTTGTTCCCGTGCAAATTCATTGCTCACGCGGCGGCCCATTACTTCGACGCCGTTCCCCCTTGTCTTCCTGCCGATTTGCCCTCCGGATTCAACCTTGCAGGCGCCGTTCTTCATCCCCGAGCTGGAGTTCCTCGAGGCGTCGGGGGAGGGGGTGGCGTGCATGTGGCGGGCGCTCCGACGCCCCGGACAACCAGAAGTTCCTGTGGCAGTTCTCTCCTGCTTCTTGCAGGTTCATTGGGGGTGGGCCCCGCAGGACCGCGCGGGAACTCTCCGGCCATGGGGCCGTTCTTCGTCCAGATCGGCGTAGTTCGGTCTCTTTGATATTCGCCATGCTTCTGCTTTCATCTGTTTTGCCGTTGCTGTCTTTCTGCTGCGCCGGTCCTCGCCGAACGTCGCCGATTCGGGGGATGAGCGCTATCTTGCTTCCGCATGTTCTACCCTCTAGCGCCTTGCTTTGACGCATCCTTGCCACGCAAGGGGGGGGGTCGCCTTTCCTTCCCGCTAGGACTTCGACGATGTCCTGCATGAGCTCCTGGGCAGCGTTGCCCAGTGCCGCGACGGCCTACTCGAGTTTCTCCAGGGGGGGCCGTTCCTAGTGTCGCCGTGGTGATGCGCCTGCGCGGTGCATGATTTTCAGGGAGGCGCCGGGGGCGCTTCGCTATAATATTTGCATGCGGCGAGTCAAACCTCATTCGCTTTTCCTTTCTCCTCAGCGCCACTTGTTTCTTTCACCTTCCGCAGAACACGCCGCGCACTCTCGGTCACAGCTCCTCTGATATCGCGGCCCCCCCGGGGCCTCGGACGGGCAATTCTGCTTCCATCCATTGTGGGCGGGGCGGTTTGTTCTCGCCAGGCCTTTGCAATCGTTATGGACGCGATGGTGACGCCGTTCTTTCATCCCCTTCCTCAGCCTGGCCCCTTCCTGTCGACAGCGTCTCTTCAATCCGCCGCTTCCCTTGCGCCGGCCGCTTCTGCCGCCGCGCGCGGCCCACGTTCTGCAGCCGTGCTTCTACTCGTCAAATTGTTCGTGCGCCTCGGGCACGTGCACGGCGCGCGGCAGCTACTCTCGTCGCCCTTCGTCTCGCGGCGGCCCCGCCGCAAAAGTATGCAACAAGTCCACAACGAGCCCGCCTTTTCTGCGACCTCCGCCAAGCTACCCCTGCTCGGCCATTCTGCGGGTCTCCCTCATGCGCGGTGTCCGCGGCACCTGCGGTACTTGTTTTTCTCTCTCGTGCTTCCCGGTGCCGCGTCCATTGCCCGCTATTGCCGCGCCTAGGAGGTATCCGGTTCATTGGCCCCCCTCCCTCTCACTAACCGCGGCCGCCGCCCTGGTCGCAAGGGCCCCATGGCAAGTGCGCCCTCGGCTATGGCTGCGGCGGCGGGGGCTGCGGCCCCCGCGGGCCAGCCGCAGGGTGGGCGCGAGGCTGCAGCCGCCAACCCCGTCGAGTGCGTCATCTTGAAGTCGCAGCGCGGGGCTAACAAGCTGGCCGTGGCAGGCCGCGCGCCACCCAGATGTCTTCCTGCGTGTCTCCTGCACTCTTTACATTCCATCGCATGTGATCCACGCTATTCTAGCAACCATCTGGCGCCGCCGTCGGAGCCGCCGTCGACGACGACGACGACGGCGAGGACGGTCACGACGGAGCAAACTGACCAAAACGATAACGACGACGACCACAACGATCACGACGACGACGACGACGACCACCACCACCACGACGACGCGACGACGACGACGACGACGACGGGGGCGACGGCGGAGGCGACGACGACGACGGCGACGACGGCGACGACGACCACGACGTCGACCATCCATTTCCGGGCCAAAGTGTTTGGCCCGAAAACGCTCTTCAAGTTTTTGCAAGAAAATGCTCTTCAAGTTTCCTTGAGGAGTCCAGGCGCTCCGCCGTTAAGCTCGCCCGTTTCCAGAAGACAAAGAGGGGCGGGCATCGAGGGTGTGGGATCTTCGCGTTGAATGGCACGCGGGCAAGTAAGAGCGAACAGTCTTACAACGCTGCTTCTTATTGTTGTTGTTGCTGTTGTTGTTGGTGCTGTTGTTGTTGTTGCTGCTGTTCTTGTTGTTCTTGTTGTTGTTGGTATGCCGATGTTAGGGCGTTCCGAGCGTCGCTCCTTTGGCTGTTCGGGTCTTCGGCAAAAGAGGGGGCCGTGTTCAGGTGTGGCCGCGTTCGGCTGTTCCTCCCCTTCGCTCTGCTCCTCCCCTCTCCTCCGCTCCACTTAATTTTCACGAGCCTGCTGCTCCTCTGTCGTCGCGCATCTTCTCTCTGCGGTTAGCCTAGGGGCCGTGATTTCCTCGGACAGGCTACGTGTTCCATTACAAGAGGCAGAAGAAGGGCGAGCACATATGGCGTTGCCGGGCACAGGACGCTTTCTCTTTATTCATACCCTTGCCTCACACGTGTAATGTTGCCCGACCCCTTCTCCCCCAGGGCGAACTCCACTCCGCACATGGCTCCGCACGTCTATTCGGCAGGCTTCTGGCTCATTGATTTGCGTGCACGGGGGCGGCTCGATCATTTGTACAAGTGTGGCTCCGCACGTTCGTTTTGAGCAGGCCTTTGCGCCACTTCTGTCAGGGACCTGAAGCTTCATGCCGTTTGTAGCGGTCTCTTTCGTTTTCTCTGCCACTTCGATTCGTTTGTAGCCTGGCGCTACGGAGTGCCGCCCTCTATCCACATGGGTACTCCCGTCTCTTTCCAGAGTGTTCCTGGTCAGTTTACGTGGCGCTCGCGAGTCTTCTCGATTCTGCAACTGTACGGGCGCGGACTCATGGGAGGGGGCCGCTTCCTCGCTTCCGCCGCGCCCATGCGACTTCCTTTACATCTCGCTTGCGCGCTGGGTGCGATCGCCTCACTGAGCGCGGGGGACGGTCCGGGGTACGACTGCGCTCCTTCGCGGGCTTCCCATTCCGTGATCCCGCACACGCGACGGACGCTTCTTGGCTTTCCGGGGGGGGGTGCTGGTGAGGGAACCCAGGCGAACTGCAAGGCGCTCTTGATCACGACCCTCGATGAGGCCACTGGCACGCACACTGTCGTCGGCACGCCGCCGCACCACGTCTGCGGCATGCCGGATCCAGAGCGGGTCCGCGCCACCGTTTCCTTTTCTCTTTTTTGTGCTTCTTTCAGATGGCACTCGGAGTCTCCAGGGTGAGCGTTTCGGGCTCCATGGGCCCAGCCTGCCGAGGTGCGGGCGCGGCCCCCGCTTCCACGGCCGCGTCTTTTCATTGCACCTCCAAGCTATCGCCGCGTCTCAGTTCCATTTCTCTCTCCCCCCCCCCAGCTCTCTCCTGTGCAGGTTGCGCGGGAGGTCGCTGCGCAGGAGCTCTCGCGGCTCGCCGTCGAGCAGCCTTTTACACCGTGCACCCGCGTGGTGTCGGACGTGCTTGGCGAGACCGACCAGCCTGACAAGCTCGCCATGCCCGGCAACCAGTCTTTGAAGAAGAGAGTGTGGGCTGCCAGGGCATCCGAGAAGGGCAAGAAGCTGAAACAGGGCGAGGACATCGAGGAGCCTGACTACAGCTCCGTCAGCACCGTTTGCATTCCCAAGGCTCTGATGAAGTACGACGACGACCCTTTTCTCCTCTATGACGCGGGCCAGCCTGCAGGGGAGGATCGCTTCTTGATCTTCGGTACAGGCGCTTCCGTCCAGACTCTGGCAACGTGTTCTCGTTGGTTTGCAGATGGGTCTTTCCGCATATCTCCAGAGCCCTTTGTACAGGTCTATACGATCCATGGGGTTGTGGCTGGATACGCCCTTCCGTTGCTTTACGCTTTGTTGCCTAATAAAAAGACAACGACCTACGTCCAACTCTTCAACGCGGTGCGCCTCTTGGTGTCCAAGGTCCCTGGCGTTAAAGGCGTCGCGGGGGCCGTGGAGCGGATCAGTCTCGATTTTGAATTCGCGGCATACAAGGGCGTGTGCCAGGTCTTCCCCGGCGTCGCCGCAGACGGGTGTTACTTCCATTTACAACAGGCAATCATGCGCAGGATCCAGGATTCCGGCCTGACGCAGAAATACTTCGAGGATCAGGCCTTCAGGATCAGAGCGCGCTGCCTTGGCACGCTCTCATTCCTCCCCCCCGGATCGATTCCCGGCGCCTTCGAGCTCCTCCGGGGGGAGTTCCCCCCAGGCGAGCACCACTTGCTATCGTACTTCGAGCACACTTGGGTCGGGGAGCTCGACCGTCGCAAGGTTTCTGTGACCGCCAAGGGGCCCCCCAAGCGCGCAGCTCCACTTTTTCCTCTCGAGTTCTGGAGCACGCACGAGAGGGCCCTGAAGGGCGATGAGCTGACGAACAATATCGCCGAGCGGCGCTCTCCTGGCAGTCCGAAGGGATGTCTTTCCATTTCCCTCCTCTTTCTTCTGCTTCATACGGGGTCGGGCTCTTCGTCGACCACGGGGCCTCCACCTCCGGGCCATCCTGCCCTCGCCCACGGGGTCGCATCCAAATCAAATCGCCAGACACAGATGACTTCCCGGAGAAAGCTCTTCCCGGGGACCCCCGCGCATCCAGGCATAGTCCTCGCGTGCGCTTGTCCTGGGTTCGGGATTCTCCAGACGCAGATCCGATGCATTTACTCCCTGTTGGTTGCAGGCTCCCCTGTTGATTACGTCGCGCCCCAAGGCATGGCGCGCGAAGCCCTTCTGTTGGGCGGTTCAGAATGCTTTCCAGGGTACTGCCCCAGCTATGCGGAAATCCCACTGGTTCCGTTCCCCGGGGTCGTTCCTTGGCCGCGCCCCCTCGGCTTTCTCGCGTTGGGCGCTATGCTTCAGTTCGCCATTTCTCCCCGGGCCTGCTGTCCACCCGCCCAGTCGATCGAAGCGCAGGGGTGTGCCATCGCTTTTTCCGTTTTCTACTGACCACCTCCTTTTCCACATTCCTACCTCTTTCGTCTCCACCGCTTCCTCAGGATACCCCTCTATACTTTGTTTCCTCAACCAGCGGATCCGCAGGTTCCACCGCGCATTCCGGATCCAGTTGCACCACGGGGCGAACGAACCGTCCATGGCGGCATTCTTGGAGGCGCGCGCGCAGCTTCATTGTTCCTCCCAATGTCGTAGTCGTACTCCAGGTGCCTTCCAATCTTCTGCTCTCCTGCTCCCTGTCTTCTCGCG